CACAATAGTGCCACAGAACAGGTACTTTTTGTCTCTTTTTCACATGAGAAGACCAAGATTCAGAGGCATTAAGCAATTTGCCTGTGGCAAGGCTACAGGTGAGAGTCTATTACTAAATAAATCAAAGGACTACCACCTGTGCCAAGTACCACTGATCTCACTGATTGACCCTGCAGTAGATCTTATCAAGGGTCATCCAGACATATGCCACACTTGCCCAAAACTTGCAGTCTGGTGTACACACACACACACACACACACACACAAATCAGGACTGAGCCAATTGAAAGCCTTTCTCAGGAAATTGGACCTTGGAGATCTAGAGTAGAAGCAGTGGGTAAGAGCTGTGATACAGAGTCTTACTCAAAGTGTGGTCCACAGCACCAATTAATCATCTGAGAGCTTTTTAGAAATGTTAAATTCTCAGCCTCCTCCGTATACCTTCTGAATCAGAAACTGCATTTTAATAACACTCCCAGATGACTTTTAAACACTTGAGAAGGACTGATATAGAGACAGCATGGCCAAGAAGGTCCTGAGTAATTGGAAAGATCTGTGTATAATTACTAAGAAATACTGCCTTATCATGTAAAGCTTATCTCAGAAAGGAATAATAGTTTAATATCAGAAGATCTGTTAAGGGATGACCACATCCATGGACAAATAGAAAAAAAATTACAGTGACTATCTTGAAACATTAAAAGAAGTGGGGAGGGTATTAGTCTAAAATCTAAGGATTATTTGAACTACCCTAAGAAAATTAGGAATAGAAAAATACTACTAGAGATTGGATGTTTGTGTCCCTGTAACTCATGTTGAAACCTGATCCCCAAAGTGATGGTATTTGTAGATGGAGCTTTAAGTCATTAGTGCAGAGTCCTTCTGACTGAAATTACTATCTGTATAAAAGAGACCCCAAAAAAGAACCCCTTCCACCATATAAGATAGTGAAAAGACAGTTATGAACCAATAAGTGGGTCCTTGCCATACACGGGATCCACCTTGATCTTGGACTTCCCAGCCTCCAGAACTAAAATAAGCTTTCGTTGTTTATAAGCCACCCAGTCTGTAGTATTCTATTATAGCAGCTCAAAAAAACTAAGATACACTTTCTAGTCCAATAAAGGCTCAAAAAATCCACAATTATCAACCCTACTGAACTTTCTTTCATGTTCATAAGAGACTAAGGGTGCCCTCTATCACAGCTACTGCTCAATACAGTGTTGAAGGTCTTGGCCCACATGACAGGATGAGAAAAATCAGAATTATATGAATCAGAAGGAAAGAGTCAAAACTATCTTTCAGATGACAAAATAGTAAGTTTTCTGTATAAGTGACCTACAGAATGAACAAAATATCAGAATAAGAATATGGTAAAACTGATAGCTATAGATTAACTTATAAGAATCTTTATTGCTTCTTTATATCAGCCTAATCAACAATAGGTTATAATTTTAAAAAATAATTTTGCATAGTGGCACTGTGTGCTTTTGAAATCCTTTTAGATACATGCAGTTATGATTCATTCAAGTGTTGCAGAGTAGTGCATTTTATGAATATACTATTATTTATTTAGTAATTGAAACTGTGCTGTACCTTTTTTTTTTTTTTTTTTTTGGACTGGAGATTGAACCCAGGGATGCTTTGCTACTGAGCCACATGCCACATCCCCAGCCCTTTTTATTTTTTATTTTCAGGTAGGGTCTTACTAAATTGTTTAGGGCCTTGCTAAGTTGTGAGGCTGGCCTTAAACTTGCCATCCTCCTGCCTCAGCCTCCCCAGTCACTGGGATTACAGGCATATACCACCACACAAGCCCAAATTATTTTCAATGCATCTCATTGTACACATGTGTGACTATTTCTCCAGAGGGAGAATTACTAGGTCAAAGGATATGCATATTATCAGATATTACTAAATTGTTCCAGAAAGAAAATTTCAAATTCCCATAGTTTCAAAATTTTAAGTTCATAATCAAGTTTCAAAATTAAATGGTATAAAGCAGATCTAAACAGCCAGAGAAAGAACATTTATGAATAGGATGATAATATCAAAATTCTCTAAATTAATTTTCTCCAATCATTTCAAATTCAGTAAAATGTTTATGTCAATGTTAACTTCAGTTAAAAGAGCAGCATAATTTCTAAAAAAAAAAAAAAAGAAAAAGAAAGAAAGAAACTGGATTTTTGATTGTAAATCCAAACTGTAAATTTAGATAAAGGTTCACAAGAATCCACAAAATCAACCCTAGTGAACTTTCTTTCTGTTCATAAGAGACTAAGGGTGACTCTGTCACAACTACTGCTCAATATAGTGTTGGAGGTCTTGGCCCACATGACTGTTTGAGAAAATCAGAATTATATGGATTAGAAGGACAGAGTCAAAACTACTTTTCAGATGATAAAATAGTAAGTTGTAATCCAAACTGGGTTTACAATAAACTCTGTTAAGCAATTAGAAGCTATAATCTAACTATGCATAGCAATATGACTAGATCTTAAAATGGTAATGGGCTGTGAAAAAGCACAAGATACTGAACTAGTACTGTTATATATTTGAGGATTCCTATCTTTAGACAGAATGGTCCCACATTCAGAGCAAAGCAAGTGGAGCTGAGGGACAACCCGTCTGCTGCAGCTGTAGTTCATTACATCCCTCCCATGGTAATCACTGTTCCTGGGCTCTGCAGAGGTTCCCTATGGACCCCACCTTACATTAACCTTTCTGGTTTTCTGAGGCAGCTCAAGCGTGTGACTGCTCCTCACATAATCCAGCATTCTGGCAGTTCTTTCAAAACTCAGGGTTCTCATGTTCCTCAGAAATCAGCTACTCTTGTAAAAGTACTGGGAGCATCTTAGATTGTGCTGAGTATTCTGAAGAGGAGATAGAGGATTTTTTAAAATTTATTTATTTATTTATTTATATGAGGATGGTTTTATATCACAAATAGCAACACAGATATCCTGAGATTCTCTGGCTTAGGTGTAGGAAGGTGGGATATTAGTGCTCAATTTGAGAAATAGCTAGAACCAGAAAGGGTGTGGTGGTGAAGAAATTAGCAACCTTACCAGGGCTCTTAACTTGCTGTTCTGGTTTAGATATGAGGTGTCCCCCAAAAGTTCATGTATGAGGCAATGCAAGAATTTTCAGAGACAAATGACTGGGTGATGAGAGCCTTAACCTAATCAGTGAATTAATACACTGATATGGATTAACTGGGCAATAACTATAGGCAGGTAGATTGTAGCTAGAGGAGACAGGTCACTGGAGGTATGATTTGGGGGTTTATATTTGGTCCCTGGTGAGCAGAGCCGTCTTTCTGCTTCCACATTGACATGTCCTGAGTGTTTTCTTCCATCATGACCTTCTGCCATGATGTTCTGCCTCACCTTGGGCCCAGAGCTGTGGAGTCGTGCCGGAGTACAGCTGCAGCAAATAACCGGGGGGTGACGAATAACTTGGGTACGTTGATACAGCAGGAGTGGGAGCCGTTTATTGCAGGACAGGAGCAGTATTTATACATTCCACACAGCTTATCTAATTAGCATAAACTAGATACATCAGTCAACCAATAAGGAATCTCCACACTTAATGGCTTGCTTTTGTTACTTCTCAAACCACTCCCTCTGGCATTTTGCCAGGCACCATCCAGACTTGTTTACGAACTCTAACATTCCCCTGGCAAAATGCCAGGTGTTATTTTGACTTGTTTACAGACTCTAACAGAGTCGGCCATCTGCAGTCTGAGACCTCTGAAACCATGAGCCCCCAAATTAACTTTTCCTCTTCTAAGGTTTTCTTGTCAGGTCTTTTGGTCATATCAACACAAAACATTGACTAAAACACTTGCTTTGCAAAGTTCTTTTAATGTGTGATCTGTTTCAATGTCCACATAATAGTAAAAGGAATAATAAATATTTGGGAGGTTGGTTAGATCTGAACAAAAGTTTCATTTTATTAAACAATAGGGTCTGGTGATTGTCCCATTGTCAACAGGCAGGTTTTGAGTAGAAGAAGAGACAGGATCATGTCTTGATCACAGAATGATCAGACCCTCTGCACCTTTCCTCCCTCCCTTTACTTGTCAGCTTTCTATGACTGTAATGAGATAGTTGAGATAATTAACTTGGAGAAAAGGTTCATTCAGTTCATGATTCTGAAGGTTCAGTCCATGATTTAGTGACCCCATTGCTTTTGACTTCTGGCAAGGCAACACATCATGTGAGAGCTGTTGGTGGAGCAAAACCATTCATCTCATGAGCCAAGAAACAAAATGGAAGAGGGAGAGACCAGAGTCCCACAGTGCCCTCCCAGAGTACAGCCCTAGTGACCTAAAGGCATTCCACTAGTCCTCACCTCCTAAAGGCTCCATCACCTCCCAACAGTGCCATGCTGGGGATCAAGTCTTTAACACATAGGTCTTTGGGGAACACTCACTATCCAAACTATGGCACCTCCACCTCAGCTCCAAGTCCCCATAGACAGATTAGACACATGAAATACAAAAGTCTGTGGGCCACATACTTTACTAGAACCTTCTTTACAAGTCTAAAGAAATGACCCAAAGGGCTGTTGAGAAGTCTCCATAGAGGTGGAGACATCTCCTAGTGTGTATCAAAATAAAGTCAATGGTAAAAGCAAGCCCAACAAAACCCTTCCCATGATGATTATTTTGAACCTTTTAAATTTTTATTTACATCTGGCTGGATGCAGGGGTGCATGCCTGCAATCCCAGTGGCTGGGGAGGCTGAGTCAGGAGGACCCAAGTTTGAGGCCAACCTCAGCAACTTAGCAAGGCCTAAGCAACTTAGTGATACTCTGTCTCAAAATAAAACACAAAAATGGGGACTGGGGATGTGGCTCAGTGTTTAAGCACCCTTGGGTTCAATCCCTGGCACACACACATACACACACACACACAAAGTCTGTTCCCCCTCTCCTCCCAAAACCCACTGGCTCCCGGCTTTGCCACTTATGCACCCCTGGTTCTCCACTCCCAGGAGTACTGTCCGGGTGTAGGGTATCAGGTGAGGACGGGAGGAAACTGAAAGGCATAAGATAAATAAAATAAAAACAACTACTGTTCTAGAATCCAAGATCTCATCTTCACCTGCCTCACTGGCCAGCCAGGGACAGAAACAGATTTGGGTCCTAGGGCGCTGCTGTCTCTGCTATGTGGTGCTTCCTACTTCAAAGTCAAACAGGAACCTTTTTTCCAGACGGCAAAGAAAGGGTAGACTCTGCCTGAGAAAGAGGCGGTAAAGGTGAAGATGGGCACCTGGGTGTCTGCGTCTAGGAGGGTCACACGCCCCGCCTCATAGTCCAGGGTGACGTCTATGCAGTGAGGGATCTCGCTCAGCGGCAGGTCGGTTCCCGGGGAGGTGCTGGCCCAGCACTGCTGGTGCGAGATGATTACGGCCCAGACTCCCTCCTGGGTGCTCAGGCCCATCTCCCCCTTCCTCCTCACTTCCTCGGCAGCCACTCCCACCGTGCAGCCGCCTCCGTCGCTCAGCTGCACTTTCACTTGCCAGCGGTGGAGTCCGGAGCAGAAGCCTGGAGAGCCCAGCACCACCGGCAAACTATCGAAGCGTTGGGGGCTGTCGGCCAGGTTCCGCTTATTCCGCGTATACCTCACTGACTTTCTGTCTTCTGAGAGGACCAGGCTTGCATTGGCGGTCTGAGGATCCAGAGTGACGATCCCTAGAGGAAGGAGAGCGCAGACATCTATAGAACTGACAGCAACCAGGGCCCTGCTGCAACCTGACATTGGCCTGCTCCTCTGAATCTCAGTTTCTGCTTCTGTTCTGTAAAAACAGACAATGGCAACTTCTCTACCTAAATGCCAAGCAGTGCTTGCTTCCCAGAGAGTAGCGGCTTTGCCCGCAGCAGCAGCATAGCCTGGGATTTGTCAGACACATTATATTGGGCCCCATCCCAGACCAACTAAGACAGAACCTGTTTTAACAAGATCCCTAGATGTTTTTTTTCCCCCTCACATTAGAAAAATCACTGATATATTTCAGAATGACACAATGCTTGTGGAAATAATTTCTAAATTAAGCACCAACTTAAAAGTAAATGCTATAGCTAGACATGGTGGTACATGCCTGTGATCCCAGTAACTTGGGAGGCTGGGGCAGGAGGATCACAGGTTGGAGGCCAGCCTCAGCAATTTAGTGGGACCCTGTCTCACAATAAAAAAGCAGGGGGCTGAATATGTGGTTCAGTTGTAGATCACTCCTGGATTCAATCCCTAGAACTCTCCCCACCCACACACACACACAAAAGGAAATGCTTTCTTTTGAAAATTGTACAATATTGTTCAAACCTATGGAAAATCTAGCACAATACCAGGCAAAAATCAAGGACTTGTTAGCAATTTTGAATGAATAATATCTTTACAAGTAACTAATGTTAATTGAACATTTATTATGTACCAGGGATTATATTAGCTCTTTGAGTGTATATCAGCTCTTTAATCCTCACAGCTCCTTATGGGGTAGGCACTATTATAATTTCCATTTTATAGAATAAGTGTGGGATGAAGAGGCTTAATAATCTGCCCAGCACCCTAAAGCTAGCAAGAGCCAAAATAGAGAACCCAAGCAATCAGGATCCAGAATGCATGCATATAATTGCTCTGTTTGCTGCCCTGGATGAAAGGATAAGTGAAGAATGGCTCCCCAAACCCTTAGTTGTTTACCTGAATCTGTTTCCAGATGACTCACCAAGTTTTCTGAGGGAAGCAGAAATAGAAAGATCTGTAACTTAATGTTTCTTAAAGGCACTCCCAGGGCAAGTTGTCCTGGCTACAATATGAGGACAGGGACAATGTGAGGAAGGATCTGCGTTTGCTGTGGTCTAATAGAAGAGAAGTGGCCTCACATTCCTGGACTTCTAGTCCAGTGTCTGTCCTCAGGGAAAGGAGGAAATACTCTGGGAGATGACTTCCATGAATAGAGTGGGGTCACTATGGGAAGCTTGGGGGGGGGAAGACACTTGAGCCAGGTTTTAAAGGTAGGAAAAAAATGTAGATGAATGGAAGGCAGAAGGGCACCTAATAGGAGTGGGGGAAGCTTCAACCCCTTCCCCTTTACCTGAAAATTTCTTCATCATCTCCGGGAGGGCAAGTATTTTCCTGTGAAGGTCACGAATCTTCTTGATAAGGTCAGAAGAAATGGTCTCTGGACTCACAAAAGTCTTCATCTCACACCTGCAGACAAGTTGGTAATTGGTTAGGTCCGATTCTCAATAATTGGGTGATACTAACCAAACAGGACTACAATTAAACTAAAAACTGGTCCTACTGGCTGTGGTGAATAATTAGATGGAGTATAATTTCTCTACCTTTGATAGAAAGATACAGTTACTAATGCAAAAGGCCCTTCAGATAGACTTTACAGGAACTAATGGCTACCACTCCTTAAGAATTGGAGGGTTGGTCCTCTAAAAGACTATTTGGAACTGTCAGCCTCTAGAGGGCAGTGCTGTACAATTTGAAAAACAGCCTTAAATTTTATTATTTATTAAATTATTATTATTATTATTATTATTATTATTATTATTATTATACCAGGGATTGAACCCAGGGGCACTTAACCCCTGATCCACATACCCAGCCCTTTTATTTATTTATTTATTTTTAATTTGGAGACAGAGTCTCACCAAGTTGCTTAGGGCCTTGCGAAGTTGCTGAGGCTGGCTTTGAACTTGCAATCCTCCTGCCTTATTCTCCTAAGCCTTATTCTCCTGTGCCCCACCATGCCTGGCATGAATTATTCTAATTTGTGTGCTGATATTTAAAAAGTGAAAGGGCCTAGGAAGGAAGAATAAAGGAGATGGGGACCAGGGCTCAGTGGTAGAGCACTTGCCTAGCATGAACTGAGGCCCTGGGATCAATCCCCAGTACCTTTATTTAAAAATAAATAAAGGACATGAAAGAAAGTACATATTGACACATATTGCAGTAGAAAGTCCCTGATTCTGGTCCTAGTGCAGCCCTTATTTGTCACTGGCTGTGTGGCTTTGTTAGTCACTTGTTAGTCACTGGCTATATGACCTTGCACAAGCATTTTACCCCCTTGGGCCTCAGCTTCTGCATCGGACTGGAAGATCTCTAGTGACCTTTGTGGTCTCAGACTCTGACACTCTTTGAAAGCATATTTGGAGACATTTCCTGATTAATAGACACGTGGGATTATCCCTACCCCCACCCCCTCCATGAATGAGCACACAGCATATGACAAGTGTTCCCCATTCTGAGTCTTAATGAGGATTGCTAATGCACCCAGCAGAGAGGAAAGGAAGGAGCATGTATTTACAATGCCTTTCAGCACCTGGCAGCTGTCCCATTTGGGTAGCATTGGAAAACTCTGCGGGAAGCAGGAGAAATGGATCTGGGGAAATCTGGCTAGTCTTCCCAGGTTCCATGCCTGTCATAGTCTATGATGATACTTTCCCTTTGAGTATTACTAATAGTGTGGATTACATATGTTCCTAGATCAACTTAAAAACACAATTATTATTTATTACTCCATTTCTAGGAATAAAAATAGGTTCCCAATACTGGCCTATCAGTTTAAAACTAAACCTTTAGAATACAAAACTTCAGGGAGTTTGGACTTGGTGTGTGAGGGAGTGGCTCTTTTGTCAGTGCTTTTGCCTTTCTGGGTGACTATCCACAGGGAGGAGGTAGTAGCAGTGTCACGGGTATTCATGTGAAGGAGCTGGTGCCGGGGAGTATGCCCTACCTGTTCTGGTTGACTCTGACATCCTACAAAAGAGAGACAAGAACATGCACTTAGTTTCCATATATAATTCCTGTTAGGGATTCTGTACCTCCTTTCTTCCTTCAAATATCAGCTCAAAACTCTTTTCCCCCAGTGAGTTGTGTCTACTTATTACCTACTCATTAAACTGTCCTGTTACCTCATGTTTCCTTGCTAATGTGGACTCTGCAGCCAGTTCTTTTGTGATAATTTCTGTTTTAGTCTTAGAGGGTAAGTTCTGCCTCCAAAGATTAAGAGCTGGGGCTGGGGATGTGGCTCAAACGGTAGCGCGCTCGCCTGGCATGCGAGCGGCCCGGGTTCGATCCTCAGCACCACATACAAACAAAGACGTTGTGTTCACCGAAAACTGAAAAATAAATATTAAAAAAATTCTCTCTCTCTCTCTGTCTTAAAAAAAAAAAAATTAAGAGCTGGTAGAGAGCGGGGACCAGCCTTGGAGTTCTCAGCTGGACCTACAGAAGACAACATCATAATAACCATGACAGACTCCATTTAAGGAATTCTCTTTGTGGTCACGGCCCATGTGGAGTGTTTTACATGGATTCTTTCTTATAATGTTTGCAAAAACTCTACAAAGGAGTTGCTATTATTATTCCTGTGCATAAAAGAGGTTAAAGAGACTCCTCTAGTGTTACAACTAGAAGAGCCAACATTCAAACCCAGAGCTCTCTGAACTCTTAACAAGAGCTCTTAACAAGCTCTTAACAAGACCACAGTGTATGCTTTGGGCAAGTTGCTAGACTCTCTGGGCTAGAGGAACTAGACAAGCATTGGTCCCTCCCATTAGAGATAATCCTCACTTCCCTTTCTGCTTCTCTCCAGCACATTCCAGCTCACAACATAGTGCCCCTTCCCGTGGAATCCCTCTGCTCTCCCAAGAGGGGGTGGGGCGTCTCTCACTTGTAGAAGCTCACTTCCTGGCTGCTGACACTTTTCCTCCAGCTCCTTGACTTGGACTCCAAGCTGGGTGACCTCCTCAGAGACCTTAGTGATGTACTCATCCCTCTCCTTCCAGATCTGCTGCTCTAGCTCCCTCAGCCTGGCCAGCAGGAGATGCCGCTGGTCCTCCAGCTCCTGCTGCAGCCTCTCAAAAGTTGTTTCTACTTGTTGTTTTTTGTTTTCAATCTGAGTCTGTTAGGGAGAGAAAGATAGACATTGTCAGAAGGGGTTTACAGAGTTGACTTCCAGAAGAATTATTTTATTTTGGGTTCTCAGAGGCACTCAACCACTGAGCCACATCCTTAGCCCTATTTTGTATTTTATTTAGAAACAGAGTCTCACTGAGTTGCTTAGCACTTCACAGTTGCTAAGGCTGACTTTGAACCCCCGATCCTCCTGTCTCAGCAGCTTGAGCTACTGGGATTATAGGCGTGTGTCACCATGCCTTCCCAGAAGGATTACTGATGTACTTATTAAGAGGAATAGGGACTAAGGAGCTTGAAGACTCAGTCCTCCAAATAAAACTATGGTAAGTTGATAGGTCTCAGAGTAAATTTACCAGTGACAAGGGCTATGCAATTAGCTTGAGATTCAAATAATGATGCCACATTATGCTTTCAGAATCACATTAAGCTTTTCAAAGGGCCTTCCACATCTACAATACCATCTTAACTCCACTGTACTTTCTATAGAGTTAGGTGGAGACGATTATGGTAATTTCTTAGAGAGAAATTAAGGCAAAAGGAAACTGTGATTAGAATCAACACAGGTTGGTGAACAAGTATGTGACCCTGGTTTTAGCCGCTGAGGTCACCATCTACAGGGCATGCTTTGATGGGAGTCGAGATCTGGAGAGATCTTTCTGTCCTGATAGTCCATCTCCTTGGTCAAGGTACCAGCAATTCCACACTGTGGATTTCCTCCTGGCTAACTTTGTAGCATGGATAAAGAGGTGTGAGGGAGCCAGATAGAGCCCCCACCATTAGCCTACTGACCTCAGGGTCATTCTTGTGTCCGAACTAGAATCCAGACACTTACATACATCTTTGAACCCCAAGGCTCCCATCTGAAGGTAGTGTTTTCAAGCAGACACACTCCAGCCAAAGAGTAAAGGACTAGGAGTCAAAAGACTCTGGTTTTTGTCATTTCATCATGAACCTGGGCTTTGCCATGTAGCCTTGCAAGCATCACTTTTCTGGAACTTAGTTTTTCACCTTGTAAGAAATGGATAAAAATGGATCTTGGAGCCAGGTGCTGAGACGTGCCTGGAATCCCAGCAATTCATGAGGCTGAGGCAGGAGGATTGCAAATTCAAGACCAAAGGCAACTTAGTTCTCACTAAGTCAAAATAAAAAATATTCATATTTTTAAATATATGTTATATGTATATATATATTATACATATTCAATACATATTTTATATGAATATATATTCACCTATCTCAAAAAATATAAAGGTCTGGGGATGTAGCTCAGTGGTAGAGCACCTCTGGGTTCAATTCCAGTACCACACATTTATATGTAAAAAGGACCTTAGGTTAGAGGACATCAGAATCACTTCTAGCTCTGATGTTCTGAGATGTTCTGAGATCCCAAGTGACTTTGTGTGTGGCAGCAGAAAAGTGAATAAGAACAGTTTGCCAGGTTCTTTCCAGGCAGGCAACAGATACGAGACAACAGACTTCCCTAGTCAGTTAAGAAAAATCCCAGAGAAAATGGTGGCAAGTGGCTTGGCCTTTACCAGAAGTGCGTGGAGCTTCTGATCTTCTCGACACTTTATGTCTTCAATCTTGTCCTTTTCTGTGCTCAGAGCTTCCAGACGACTTTTGAGACGATCCTGTGGGAAGAAAGGGCAGAGAAAAGTGGCTCCGTTAATAATTCAACTCACAAATATAAATTTTCTCCCACATTCTGGGAACACTGCAGAGCGCCGAAGAATTTGAAGGTGACAAAGATCCAGTTCTTGTCCCTAAAAGGATCACTACTTAAGGCAGGAGTTTGTTGAGAGTGAGTAATATTAGATAGATAAATGCAGTAGTCAGGCATGCACACAGCGAGATGGGAACACAGAGGACAGACCTGCCTGTAGGGCAAAGGGAAGGCTTTAGAAAGCAGACCCCCCACCCCATTTCCTCAGCCACACCATCCTACCCAAACCGGCCAAGGGGAAGCCAAGCTTCTTACCCTGTAGGGTTGAATGGCCTCCTCGAGGAGGCCCACAGTGTGGGCCTGGTGGGAGGGACCCTCCCGGCAGAACACACAGAGGAACTCTGAATCATTCTTGCAGAAGAAGTAGATCTTCTCACCGTGCTCCTCGCAGTTCATCTTCCCCACAGGACCCAAAGGCACAGGGGCCAAGAGGGTCTCTGTCTGCTCCTCTTCCTCTTGGCAGAGCGTGCAGAGCAGGACCCTGCGGGAGGGCTGGGCCCCCATTTGGGCATGCGCAGGGAAGCAGAGGCTACAGAAGGTGTGTCCACAGGCGGCACTTACTGCATCCTGAAGGGGCCCTGCACAGGCAGGACAGGCAGCCCCCTCATGGACCAACTGCAGGGAGGAGGTGGAAGGCATCACGGTGCCTTCCCCAGCCTGTCCACACTGGCCTCAGCCACGTTCACGCAAATTTCCTTTACCTGAAATTGAGTCACTTTTAAATACGTCACCAAAGGAAAGGAACACAGAGCTGACAGAGGAAGGCAGGAATGTCCGCACGGAGAAGCCACCTGGCTCCACCTCTTGCACACCTAGGAACCCTTGGCCACCACCCATCAGCTAAATGGGTCCAAACTCCAGGGCATCTTGAACTACCTAGAGGTGGCCAGGTGAGCTAGATAGTTTTCCACTCCTCTGTTATCTTCTAGTTCCTGGATCGGGGAGAAGAGCTCCCCGTGAGGTCACGTCTGAAGTTTCCTGGAATCCCTTGACCATAGTGGGGTGGAGAGAATTGGGGAGGAGCCACTTCCTGTCAGATTGAGCAGGTGGGAGCCATAAACTCGCTGTGAAGTTTGCCTGTAGCGTCAAAGTCCAAGCTGGAATGGGAGGTGACCGACTTCCGGAGACTCTGGGGGACTCTGTTCAGACGTACAGGTCTTCTTGGAGGTTTCCCTCCTCTGCCTGTCTTTCTTCATCGTGCCTTATTTGCCATGCTGGTCTTCCCTATACTCCTAAATGCCCCACTTCTGTGGACCACCATCTCCAGTGGAGTTTGGTTAATCCTGGATTTCATTTTCATATTTTAACTGCAGGTGGGAAAAGATAAGAAACCATAATGCAAATTATGTGTTGATCAAAAAAAAAAAAAACATAGAAAACTCAATTAGTCAAAGAGATAAACAGATTCAACTATATTTATCTAGGGTTTACTATTTTCACATTATTAGGTCCATTCCTAATAACCACCCTTTGGGGCAGGTGTCATTACTTTCATTTTCAGAGAAGGAAATGTAAACAGAGAAGTAAAGTCACAGGCTGATAGCCACAGGCTGGGGACAATCCTAATCTCCAGGGTTCAAGTCTTGTGCTCTTCCTGCACTCCCAGCCAAGACAAAGATCAAGAAGCCAAAAATTGGGGGAGTGGGGAGTCTTTCTTTGCTCACCTGCATCTGCAGATAAATCAGGGTCCCTTCCATTCATGATCAGCCCGGCACCTCCTTGTTGCCCCCTTTTCCCTCCAGCTACTTTGTATATCACCCTTACCCTCCACTCCTATCAAGAGCACAGTCTTGGAGCTATATTGTCAAATATGTGAACTACGGGCCACACATATGGCTACTGACTATTGAAATATATATGTAAAATACATCTGAAATTCAAAGATTTAGCACAAAAAAAGCAATTAAAATATCTCATTAATAAAGTTTTATACAGCTGGGCATGGTGGTGTACACCTGTAATTCCAGTGCTCAGGAGGCTAAGGCAGGAGGATCAAAGTCAGCTTTAGCAACTTAGTGAGGCCCTAAGCAACTTAGAGACACCCTGTCTCTAAATAAAATATTTTTAAAAGAACTAGGGATGTGGCTCAGTGGTTAAGTGCCCTGGTTTCAATCCCTGGTACTACTATTACTACTACTACTAGTAGTACTACAATTAATAATAATAATAATAATAATGTTTCATACAGATTACATGCTGAACTCATAACATTTTGGAAATAGTGGGCCAAATAAAATATATTCTTAAAATTATTTTTTTCTGTTTACCTTTGAAAGGCTACTAGAACATTTTAAATTGCATACGTAAACACCAAAAAATCATCTTTAGGGGCTGGGGTTGTGGCTCAGTGGTAGAGTGCTTGCCTAGCATTCACAGGGCACTGGGTTCGATTCTCAGCACCACATAAATGTAAAATAAAGATATTGTGTCCACCTAAAACTTAAGAATAAATATTTTTTAAAAATCATCTTTAATTTTAGTAAATAAATAAAGAAATTTCATATGTGGCTTGCACTGTATTTTTATTGGACAGTATTACTCAGAAGACACACAGCTCTACCTGCAAATCATGGTCACTTCCTACTTGTTGACCTAGGGCAAGCTGAGGGAACCTGGCTAAGCCTCGGCTTTCTGCTTTACAAAGCAGAAAGCCTAATAGCACCAGTGTTACAGAGCAGATAGGTGGAATAAATAAAATGATGTGTTTAAAGTGCTTTTATCAGTATAAGGTGTGTAGTCATCATAAAGAAATGCTAGCCATGACTATTTTTCTTTCTCCTCCCCCATGCAGGGTATATTTTGAACTCATTTGAAACCTCTGGAAGCCAGTTGGGACATCACCAAATACACCCCAGCACAGGACCTTATCTGAGTCCCCACACTCTCCTCCCCGCTGACTGGCAGGCCCTGGGATGGCTGATACCTCCAATCTCCCTGGAGACAGCTGGTCACATTGCAGGGAGGCAGGAGTGGCATCATCACTCTGGGACCCAGTCTCCCTCTTGTCCCCAAAAGAAGACTGATCTCTTCCCATAGCTGACAGCTGAGATGCCAACACACTCCTCCACTGTGACGGTCTCTGGATGGACAGAAAGCAACAGCAAGCCCCAGGCCAGGATCATTGGTCCAGACAGTAACTGAGGCCATCTCTGGAATGCTGTGAGCCCCTCTGCCTCTTCTCCTCCCCTCCTCTGCCTTTTCTCCATTTCTGCTATTGGCAGGTGTGTGTCTGTTCCCAAGAGAGCAGGAAAACGGAACCCTGGCACCAGAGATGCAAGTGGGTGCCTTGTCTGAGTGTGTGTGACTATGTTTGTGTCCGTTGTGTGCACATGTGAGTGTGTGAGTGTGTGTTCTGTGCCCTTGCTGCTCTCCCAATCCTTCCACCTTAATCAAGCAGAGAGAGTGACCTTGAGGAGTCCACAGGGCCAGCAGAACCAGCATGGCCTCAGCTGCCTCTGTGACCAACCTGGTAGATGAGGTCAACTGCCCCATCTGCCAAGGCACTCTGAGGGAACCTGTCACCATCGACTGTGGCCATAACTTCTGCAGGGGCTGCCTCACTCGCTATTGTGAGATACCAGGTTCAGAATCCGAGGAGTCCCTCACCTGTCCGCTCTGCAAAGAGCCTTTCCGTCCGGGGAGTTTCCGGCCTAACTGGCAGCTGGCCAATGTGGTGGAAAACATCGAGCGCCTCAAGCTGGTAGCCATGCTGGGCCCAGAGGAGGAGGACGTCTGCCGGGAGCACGGGGAGAAGGTCTATTTCTTCTGCGAGGATGATGAGGCGCAGTTGTGTGTGGTGTGTCGCGAAGCCGGGGAGCACAGGGTTCACACTGTGCGCTTCTTGGAGGATGCTGCAGGTCCCTACCGGGTAGGAAGGGGGACCTGGGCTCCCCAGAGTGGGATCAAGTTGCACTGGACCAAGAGAAACAGAGCAGAGTTGTAGATTATTTGGACCATCCTGAATCCAAATTCTTTCTCTCTACTTATATGGTCACCCAGGCAGTAAAACTAGGCACAGAAAATCACAGGTTTATCATTTAAAGGGTGTCTTAGATTGTTTACTTGTGGCCCACAGACAACAGGACCTCAGTAAGTGCTTATTGAATGAATGAGTGACCAAAACGTGTATGTGTGTGTGTGTGTATTAGGCTTGTATTTGAGGAAACAATCACACACTGTGTAATTGTACCATTGTTCCCCATGTTCACAAGGGGGAACAGTCTTTTGGGTGTGGATCTGAGTGTGTATTCAAGTGTGTAAGTGTAACATTTTATGTTTTTTGAATAAATTTATATATATATAGATAGATAGATAGATAGATAGTTTGGATAGAATATGTAGTAGATAAATAATTTTATCTCTTAATTGGATATGTGCCAGTTTTCGTTGTTCATATATTGTTTTACTACAAGTGAGAGTATGTGTGGATGTCTTAATTAGTTAATTAGCTCTTGATGGTGAGAATCTATATGTATTTTTGAATATGCATATGTGGGCTTTTATATGTATGTACCTGTTCCTAATTCCATCCTAGAACAAACAGTTTTAAAACAATTCATCAATTATTTTTGCATTTCCAAGTTTTTTCTCCCTTATGGAATCATACCTAAGATAATTGATTCTATAAAAGAGAGCATTGTTATTTGTACAAGTTCCTTCTGGATATGTCAGAAAGCTGGAACAATTTCAGTGATATTAAGCTTGAAGTATATCAGGACAGATTCTAGATACCACCTACTAAGCTAGGCATGGTGGCACATGCCTGTAACCCCAGTGACTGGGAGGCTGAGGCAGGAAGACTACAAGTTAAAGACCAGTCTAGGCAACTTATCAAGAAACTCTGTCTCAAATAAAAAATAAAAAGATCTGGGAGTGGCTGGGAGGGTATCTCAGTGGCAGACTGCCCCAGGATTCAATCCTCAGTACAGGGGAAGGAGGAGAGAGAGAGAGGGAGAGAGAAAGACCACTTCCCAGATGCAAAAGAAAGTGGATGTTTAACCAGAAGAAAGGGCAAAAGCAAGTCACAGACTTTAATGGCACAGGAGGAAGGGGAAGGCCCAGATTAAAACTCTTGAAACACAGTGTAAGAGGGAAAAGACCCAAAGAGTGTGAGCTGTCAAGGTGCTGAAGACTCAGGGCTTGTCTACCATTCCCAGAGACAGAGGGTTGGATAAGATGACACCCCTTTAATAAATCTTTTTTTTTTTTTTCATCTTAGCATTTTATGCTCCTTCTCCCTCAGGAACAAATACAGAAGTGTCTTAGAAATCTAAGAAAGGAGAGAGAGGAGATTCAAGAAATCCAATCAAGAGAAAATAAAAGGATACAAGTCCTCCTGGTAAGTGATTACCCTTCCCCAGGTCCCTCCTATTCCTCAGTGTCCAGGGTCTCCCTGAAAACAAGCAAGACAGCATAGGGCTTTAAAGTCATCCTGTGTCTGAAATCCTGGCAGTGACACTTCACTATATGAGCTCAAGCAACTCTTTAACTTCAGTTGACTTATCTATTAAATAGAGATAAAAAGTCATTACCACCTCAATGAATTGCTGCAAGGATAAATGAGATCCTGCCTGTAAAGTAGCTTGGTAGTATGCACACAGTGTGTACTTCCTATAAGACAGGAGGTCAGGTGTCCCCTC